AAAAAGGAACTGAAAGAGAGAGATCACAACTCCAGACAGTCCTTGGCCCCACTCAACCCATCCACAAACCACCAGCCCATCTGGGGCTGTCTCCCTCCCCAGCTGTGCGTGGCCTCTGTTGCCCTGTGATAACCCCAGATCCCGAGGGTAACAGCGCCCAGCACAGCTCAGGGGAACCGAGTGCCCATCATATGCCCAACGTCACTCAAAGCTTTGAACTTATTTAACCTACCCAGGGCCCTGTGGGCAGCCCAGGCCAGAGCGGGAGGCTAAGGCCTACTTCACCGCTCAGACAGCACGGGGCTGGGGCTCCAAGCTGTGTTCCTACCCAAAACACCTGTGTCCCTATCCAAGACAGCCTCATTTTTTTTTCCTTATACTGGGAACTGAACATGCTTTTCATAACTGTTCATTCTGAGACAAGGTCTAAGTTGCCAAGTTGCTCACACTGAGCCTGTGATCCTCCTGCCTCAGCTTCTCAGACAACTGACATTATAAGCAGGCGCTACTGTATTGTGAGTCACTCTCACTCTGACTACTTCTCAGAGAGAAGAAAAGCAAAATCAGAGGTGTGAGTAGATCTGTGGGTACGGCAGGAACAGGGGCTCTGTGACCTCTTACCTGAACCCACCAAGACGTCTGGGTTCCCCAGGGTGACAGCTGCGGTGAAGTCTGAACCCCGGTATTCCCCGTCCACTTGCCAGTTCACAAACTTCGACTGCTGTGTCTGTGGGGGAGGGGAGCATGAGCAGTGGGCATGCTTGGGGACGCCAGGCGGCGGGCCGCAGGGCACGCACACTCTCACCTGGATGGCCATCTTAGACCTGAGGCCAGGGCCCAGCTGGTGAATGATCTGAGCGTTGAGGCTGCCACTGTTGTCCATGTCGCCCACCAGCACAGGGAAGGCCTGGGGGGGAGAGGGCAGGTCAGAGGTCAGAGGTCTCACTATGGAGGTGAGTGGCAGCCTAAGTGACAGGGCTCTGCTTGGTGCCCCCTCCTCCTTGAAGCCTTCCCTGGTCACCTAGACTGAGGCTCTCCACTAGCCCGCACAGCCTCTGGGTTACTCCTCTCTGGGAGCAGATCTGTTCCCTGCCCTACTGAAACGCAAGTGCCACGGCTGCCTCAGTCACTGCTGTGTCCCTACACAGGGCCAGGCACAGACTAGGCCTCCAACGCAAACATGTGCTGAGTGGATCCACTCACTGAAGGGAAGCAACAATTCAGTAGTAATCAAGACGACCTAGTTCAGCACCACCCTCCCCATCCAGGCCTGCAACGCCCATCCCACTCCAACACCCAGCCTCCTCAGGGCAGCCCCGGGTCTGTGTGTGAAGCAGACATCTGATGAGAGTATCTCTCCCCAGTTCAAATCCATTTACAGCTCCGCATCGCCCCCTAGAGGAAGTCTGAACACCCAAAGTGGCACCCAAACACCGGTGTAATCTGGAGCTCAGCCCTGCCCACTACAGGTAATCACTGGTGCGGGACAGGGCTGTTGTCACCCCAGTCTCCCCAGCATGACCCGGCACAGGGCCAGACAGAGAGCGGGGGCTCGGGGGACACTGCTGGTGGGAGGAATTACCATGGCCCAACGCACCTTGTCCCCACCCCTCATCGCCCTCAGGGGCCTCAGCAGCAGTGACCTCCCAACAAAGCCTCCTTAGCTGGGTGTGTCTGGTCACATGTTTGTTTTTTTGTTTGTTTGTTTGTTTTTTCTTTCCGGATCAGGAATCGAACTCATGACCTTGTGCTTGCAAGGCAGGCGCTGTGCCGCTGAGCTAAATCCCCCGCCCCCACATATTTGTTCTAAGAAAGATACGACGAGAATGAGTGACGCACAGAAGAGCCTACCTCGGTGGGACTCAGCTGCTTTGTCCCCACGTACGTGACCCCGAAGTGGTAGGTGGACTCCCCAATTGTGCTGAGGGCGACTGTGTGGTTCACCTGGGAGAAGAAGGAGGGGCTGCGGGGCAGGTGCCAGTCCGGCTGCCCCGCTGAGCAGGAACAGAGCCTGGGAGGCGTAGGGCTGGCAGCACAGCGCAATGGCAGAGCGAGCGCTGGGCGTGAGCAGAGCCCCAGGGACCACCCCATCCACAGCACACAAGGACTGGGAGGGCCGGCGCGACGAGACTGAGAGAGGCTGCTCCACACCTGCCACTGCACCTTGCGGGGCGTTATGCAGTGGAGGGCATCTCTGGACTGTGGGTCCCCAAGCCCTACCACGGGCCCCGCGAAGCAGTCAGCCCGGCTCTGTGTCTGAGTCTTTGCAAGCACCGAAGAACACCGCCCTTCAGGGAGACTCAAGGGCTGCACGTGCACACGCAGGGGAGGCACCAGGAAGGCCCACCTGGAAATGGTTACTCAGCCCTTTGTTGACGGTCAGTTTGACGCCTTCCATCTGAACAGGGAACAGCTCTGGAGAAGAGAAACGCCGTCACACTCCACCCCACGCAGCCTCCTCGTCCCCTGCCACACCCCCAGCTGTCTCCAAGCACCGGCAGAACATCTCACAAAGGACCCCAACCGGCACAGGGAGACGCTGTCCAGGGGACAGCGCCAGGACCTCTGCCGGGGTGCAAAACGCGCCACCACCTGTGTGGTTTCAGGCAAGTCAGTTTCAGACTCCTCTCGCGTTAGACGGAAACGCCCCACGGAACGGATCCGCAGACGGCACGACTCAGGGCGCGCTGAACGCCAAACGGCGCTCATTGAGGCCCCCACCACTCTCGCGATCATAATGAAGCCGGGACCCAAGGGCCTTGGGTGCCACCCTCAGGGGACCCTTGCTGGCCCTGTGACCTTGGGCCTCAGTCCCCTTTCTGATCGCGCCCGGGGCCGCAGCGCGGTGGGCGCGGGGTCCCGAGCGCCCCGGGGCTCTCGCCTGCTGCTGACACTCCATCCCGGCGCGGATAGTTCGGTTCCACGGTTCTACGGCCCGGCCTGGCCATTGCGCCGTCCGATCCCAACGTCAGCTCCCACGGCTCCGCTCATCGCTCCCCAGGGCGCGCGCCGATTTCCAAATCCGTCGCGCCCCCCGCCCCCAGGTCCGGGCCGTCACGCTCGCCGCCCGAGCCCCTCACCCTTGCACTTCCGGTGGCACTCCTCGAACGTGCCCGGGTTGGGCAGGCAGCCGTGGGCCCCGTCCTCCGCGGTCCCCGCGGCGCTCGGGGCTGTCGTCCCGGGAGTCCGTTCTGAACCTCGGCCCGCGCTGGCCCCGGCGCCCAGCCCGCCCCCGAGCG